CTACAGCCAGCTTGTCTTTTCAGTGTAGTTCATTCCTTCATAATTCCTAGATTTTTATAGTATTTTAGGAAAAATAAGAAAAAAAAATTGCAAGACAGTTTCTCTTAGTGCTCCTTTTTTTTTTTTATTTTCCAGAGGTATTTTTAATAGGTAGGGAAAAGTCCAGTGAGATGGAAAAAAATGCCAAATGTGGAAATATTTTATTATTCATCTTAAAAATATCAACTTTAGAGATATTGCATCACTTTGTCAGCCCTTCATTTGTACATTCTGTGAAATTCTGAGGGCACATCCAGAGGGGTCCAGCTTTGACCTGTGCAATTTGTGTGTGTTAGTAGAGTTTCAGTGTTGGAATGGTTCCTTTGTTAGTAAAATGGTCTTGGAGAGATTATCAGATTGATAGTCTTTATATCATAAATTTTAAATAGCTTTTCAGAGCAGCAATTGTACATCCAACAAATTTGGAGGTACCATAACCTGTGTTTTGTCCGTATTGTGGTTTCTCCATCTCATTTTTTTTACTTACATAGTCTGAGTAAAATAAAATCTGGCAGTTAAGTGACTAGCAATATGTAGAGTTTGTTTGGCACCACTTTTTTGTGTCCTTTGGTATTATACAAACCTTTCTTTTTGATCTTGCTGAGTATTTAGCTTGTAATTAAGCAGCATTATTCCAGTTAAGAGAGAAAAAAAAAGAAGGATCTCTCTAGTTTAAAAACGCTTCAGTCTGAAAAAGCAGCAATTTGACATTTATGTGCAAATCTGCTCTATTATCTGTAGCGTTGTGCTTTCTATTCGTACAATTGAACCTCTATTCAGCACTTAATAAAGTAATGTGTTGCAGGCAGTCCAGTTTGTGTCTGAGTGATTATGAAGTGTTTATGACAGCTTCTAAGCTGACACTCTCCGTAATGGTGTTACATTGACTTCTAAACACCTCCGCAGTCTGCCTCCAGGAGTGTGTGTCTCTTTGCAGTCTGAGTGGTTTCACATTAACATCTCCTTGGAGTAAGATCTTTGACTACAGAAGTGTTACTTGCAAATGGAAGATACCATTAGGGCTGCTTCAAAGGACTGAAATAATGTTTGGACTGCTGGGTGCTGAAGTAACGGCTGGGGTTTTGAAGTGCAGGGTCTAAATCTGTATTGCATAAGAAGCGGAAGGTGTCCATCCAAATGACTTTTCTTTGATCTTTGTTTTGAGATGGGGGTAGGAAGGTTAAAAGTGTTCTTAAAATATGCCTCACTAAGTGGGGAGAAATGTGGGAATATACAAAAGTACGACCAGAAGTTCCTATTTGATAATTTTGCAGTGTAGGTTTGTGTTTTATTTGGAATTTGTTTTTCTCTTGCTCCCAGTTTCATGTTTCAAATACAATTGGAACTGGTTTCTGCCTAATGTGGTTTCCAAGTATCTGTTCTGGATGTTCCTGTTCAGGGAAATGCATGTTGGCTGGTTTTGTGGCAGATAATTTTTTTTCATTGTATGCTGGAAGCTTCAGAAGTAGAAAAATCATCTTAATTTAATGGTTCATGTTACAATTAAAAAAAACCCAACAAAACGATGGAGCTTGAGTTGAATAAAATGGGAACTACCAAAGGGAACTTTTAATAACAAGCACAGCTGTGTATTCAGCAAAAAATACTTAAAGGTTGTGGTGTAATGACGCTGCCACAGACTGATGGGATGTGTCAGCCCATATGATAGGTGACTTCCGTGTGGAGACCTCTGGAATGCAGAGGACTCGTTGAGCAAGGATGGCATCACACCATCACACACTGCCATTTCTCCACTGCCAGACCTTGAATTTCTGTAAAGGCTGCTGTCCAATAAATACTGTGATTTTTTAAAGTTGTTAAAACTGCAGTTGTGCAGCAGCTGGTGTGTTTATGTGGATGTATCGATGGGTGTATGTGGTAGGTCAGACGTGCTGGTTCCATTTTGTTTTCTCAACTGCTCATCAGAAGCCCTGTCTGCTGGGGTTTCGATTTGGTCTTCTTAGTCCCTTTGTAATTCTTCCCTTCTTAGAGCTGGGAAAAGGAATAGTCACTTACCATGTAGCAAGCTGTGATCCTTCCTCTGTCCAGGCCTCCTCTGATAGTGGGTACTGCTGTTACAGCTTGTATTAGCCACTTGGAAAAGTGTAGTAATGACCTGACCTAGAAACCCTGCAAAATGTCTAAGGACTTTACAAAACTTCTATGCAAATCATTTTTTGAGGCTTTGGTTTTTCACGCTGCAGATTTTAGCAGTAGGTAAGTAACTTTGTGTTTTTACAATCATTAAGTGACTGCAGAACTGTTGGAAGTTTTTTTTAAACTCGTATTATACCCTACATTAGTAGGAAAAAAACCCCATGTGCAGCCACCTTTGAAAAGGCTGTGGTGAGAGATATCAGGAGAGTCCAAACAGCATTCCCTGTGGCTCTCCTTGGATGGAGCTAAAATGAAGACCCATGAAGGATGTTTTTACCCATATTCTGATTCCTTCCAATATTGTCTACGTCGTTCTTTTGGAGAAATGAAGTGATTGAAAACAATGCAGAACTGTCCCCCAAATTAGAATTTTACAGGGAGCCTGCAGCCTGATAATAATTTCTAAGCTTTTATGGTTTTTTAAATTCAGTTAACACTGTCATAATTTTAAATACTAGGTGCAATTTCATACTCAATTCAGTCACTAGAGTAGACATCTGTAACATTCTTTAAACATCTAAATTCTTATAATCTCTAGATAATTGCAGAGATTTGTTTTGAATGAAAAAGCAGACTGTTTGAATTTCTGAACTAAAATGATAAAAATTGTCCTTTTACTTGCAGTCCTTCCCTTACTCTCAGTAGCAAGATGACTGGTAGTAGTCTCTAGCTCAACATGATTATATCAAACAGTATTTTGTGGTAGTATCTGGCAGTTGCTTAATGTCATAATAACCTAGATCATATTTTAAAAAATATCAGAATATTTAAAAAAGCAACCCTGATATCTTCCCTGTGCTCTGTGACAGTTTTTTAATATATAAGCTGTTTGCTCTTATATAGTTGCACAGCAGTTTAAACATTGAGTTTCAAACTTTGTTTGTTTGGTGTATGTTTGACTTTTTTTTTTTTACCATGTGAAAACCATTTTCTATGGTTGGAAACTATCAGTTATCCTTAGTGTGAACAAAACTTCCTTTGTTCTGGTTTTTTTTAAGGGTGCAAACTGGTATGCTCCAAACAATAAAGCTCTGTCATCAAAAATTAACCAGTGCTCCAGATTTCTGGTCTGTTGTATTTTAAGCAGTAGCTCAAGACGTTGAAGTGGAGGAGAGGGTTCTTCTTCCTCTTTCAATCTGTCATTATTGGAAGAGAGTGATGAAGACTTCATTGAGGGCTGGGTTTTGAATCGGTGTGTTCTTTCCTTGCAGCCTTCCATGTAGGTCTGAGGCTTGTGGTTTGATACCAGGTGCTGGGAAAGCTGAAATGTTCTATCAGACCAGCTTGGAGCCGTCATTTTGGATTCACTCTTTCACAGAACGAGTACCTGAAGCTGCTTTTATAGCTTAATATTCAATTCTTGAAACCTGTTTGGAAATATTCTTGGCTTTTGGAATGGGAAAGAAAAACTTTTAAGAGCTTTGAAAGCTGCCACAGGGACTCGCTACTTAGCTGGATCAAATCCAAAATGGCAGCCACAGCCTAGTTTCTTCACAGGTGCTTTTTGAAGAATTTAGAGCTCTGTTTTCAGTTCATGAAGTCTATTTATATTTTGTCTATGCTTATGAGACTGTGTAGCTCAAGGGACTGGTAATGGGATGTGGAGCCTTTTCCCTTCCACTGCTACCCCACATCTCGCCCAAACTGGCAGCGACAAAGTTGTTGGCCATTTAGTGATGGGGTTGAGCTTGTGTTACATGTGCTTCCTTGTCCCACTGCAGTTCCTAGAGGAATAAGTGTCCCATTCACAGGAAAGATTGGCCACCTGTGTTGGCTGTCTCAGGAGTGAGATAAGGCCTGAGCTGGCAGGAGGATCAGACTGTATCGTCTCTCTACTCTGAAGATGGTGCTTTCAGTCAAAATTGTTACGTGTGGCTTCAGCAATGGTAATAAAGTTTTATGTTGTATGTGGAGAAGTGAAGGGCATTAGCATCAACCACAGTTAACTCACAATTTTATAAGACTGCAAATAGCAGAAACTTCTGCTGGTGGTAGTGTTTAAAAAAATTAATTGTAAGTCAAGGAAAATCTTGAACTCTAAAGCCTGAATGTATTTTTCAATGCCAAGCAAACCAGAGGAACAACCAAGCTCTTGCTGATTCAGGGCATACAGCAGAGTCCAGTGCCTTCTATGATTTCCTGTTTCTATAGAGCAGTTAAGGACATACAATGAAAAAAAAAATCCCTTAAGAAAACTGTTATTTTATGGAGTTATGATCTGTTAAGTATTGGTGTGTTAATCTGATCCATGTTGTAGTGTCATGTTCAGATTTTTTGTAAACTTTTTGGGGCTTTTTACTGAATTGACTTTTTCTTTATCAATGAGATGCTGGTGGTTGGGTGGGATCTTCTGTTTTCATTACAAAATCTGCAGTGGAGGTATGTCTTAAAATTTGCTCCTTTGTGGCTCCTGGGAGTCAGCAATGTATATGATCTGCCAAGTACGTGAGCTGTACAGATGGCTGAAGTTATCTGAATGCTTACTTGCTTTTTTTCTTGGTTCTACACAGTTTCCCCTTTCCTGGGGTTGGGGGGGAAAAAATCCTACAGACAGAGAAGAAAGGATGTTTTATAGGACAGTGTTACACATTACAGTGGTTTCAAAACAGGAGCTAACTGCTATAATCTTGTCTTTGTCACTGTCTGAGCCCGTGGGTTTGATTAATCCATTTAACCTTTCTTTCTGTAATTTCCCCCCTGTATAAAGTGATAAAAGAGTTATCTTTCAAATAATGAAAATTAATTATTAAAAAGTAAAAGCATTATATGCATGAGAAGAGCTGGGCTGGGATTTTCGTGTTAGGTGCTGAAGTACAAATAAACTTCATTTATATTTGTACATTTTAGGCTTTTCTTTGAAAATCTCAACTTTAAGCTCTACCAGGACTTGGCATCACAGGCAAAATAAACATGCTCTCTGGAGTTCAGTATATTTAAGAGCAGAAACTGAGTTAAGAAGGTTTGGCCTTCTTACTGTATCTTACTTTTGGGACTATAACTTTATTTGAAGTAGATTGGAGTTAGAGCTGGCGTGCTGGCATAGTTAAAAAGTAGGAGGAGGTGACTGAGTTGGGTTGGGTTATTTTATGTGAATCACTTCTTCCATACTTTTGTTATGCTAGTGCTGTTCCCTCTTGTTTTCATTCATAGCCATTGATGTTCATACACATGTGAAACGGCATTTTCATGGTTTGGGGGAAAAAATCTTTAATTGCCAATAATAATAGTTCCAAAGCCTTATATTTTCTTCTCTATTTTCTCCTTTTCCTTTTCATAGAGCTGGTGTGTTCCAATGGATAGAAAATGTGCTGCTGTCTTCATCTCTTTGCATCTCTTTATTACTCTCTCTCTTTAATTTTTCTAATTTTCTGCTTAGCTGTGCTCTACTTTTTTCCAAGCTCTCTTTTCTGGATGCAGATGCTATCTATGTGGTTTTTTTTTTTTTTTATTTTCACGCTGTCCTCCAAACTCATAATCTGTTAAAAACAATCAGCAAACCTTTACTGAGTTATTTTCTGATCCTAATTCTTTTGTCTTGTATAGAATCTGGTCAGCAAGCTCTTCAGAGCAGAGGCCTCTAGCTGTCCCAGAGGGAGAATTAAACTTGTTTTGAGAAAGCTGGAGTACTACAAAGCTGGATGTTGTTCAGATGATGCTGCTAGCTGGAAGAGGAGAATCTGCTATGATTGGAACATCTGCCTAATAAAATAAGAGCAGAGTAGACTAAGGGATTAATTCTCATATTGATTACAGTTTTAAAACTGTTGTGTCCATCAGGAGTAATTCTGATCACATAGTTAACAGTAACGTTGATTCATACCAATGTGGATCTGCAAAACTAAAATGGCCAAGAAGGTTATTTCCTCAAATTGGTGCAGCTTGAATGTTATTCCAGGCGTAATGTGGAAAAGCAGTAGTTCACTGTGTGCTGTGGTTGCTGACTGTTTGCAGAGTGAGGGGCTGCCTCTGTAGTAAACAGTGTTTCCAAGGTAATCTTCTGAAAGAGTTGTGCTTCAGTGGGCTGGGTTTAATTCTGCCCACAGTATCTAAAGCAGTGCTAATAAATAGTGAGGCTCAGGGTTAAGATTGGAAGTAAGCTAAGAGTCTGAGGTACTAATGATTTCTTGCTCAAACAGTAGCAGTAGTTTAACTTTTTGAATGTGTGAGCTGAAGTGCAGAAAGAAATGGGAACAGCAATAAAATGACATTTCAAAAAGCTAACTTGGATTTATAGTTTATTGATTCATAAGAACCTTGTTCCAAATTGTATTCACTTCTGATATCGTAAACTTGTTATTTGGCAAAACGTTATGCCAGCATGTTGGCTACGTTCTCAGTCTCATTACATCTGTTTTAAGTTGTTTGTTATTTGGAAATGAGCTTCGTCATGTTTGCCATTTTCCTGAAGTTTGACATTCCATATCGGATCCATTAGCAGGCAGTTATGAAAATGCATTCTGACTGACCATTTACAGGAAGTCTGGAAATTCTTCTGAGCTGCTTCTGGTTTAATCTTTTCAAGATTGCCATTAGTAACAAACTTCATTAGTTTGACCCCCTATTTTTAAACATAATTTTCACACCTGGAGGATATGGGATGTACCAATATATCAGATTCTCTGATCTTCTACTACCAATGTTTGCCACTCTTGATCGTTGGTTAGTTAGCATTTTTCTTTGAAACATGCATTGTGTAGAATAAATGCTTGTGTTTCAGATTCCTTGATTTTTTTTTTTTTGTTAATTTTAGTCAGCAGTCAACTTTCAAGTCTTGTTTCTTTTAAGACATGTATAGTTATTAATAGTAGATAGTGCTAATGTCTCATTTACACAGTCTAAGGCACGTGTTTCTAGAGGCAGGCCATCCTTCTTGCTAGAATTTGTTTTATTCAAGACTTGTAATGTATTTTCCTTTAGAGAAATTGCAGAAGGCTGCTTAGAAAGGCCATGTCTTACCAACTTACTTTCTTACCTACCTTTCATACAATGTCTTTCTACCTACTTTCTTACCTACTAAATATATACATCTTTATAAGTATATATATTTTTACATTGTATGTTCATATGTTTTGCAGATCAGTGGTGAAGCTCAGGAACTCTTTTCTGTCCGCCATGGTCCAGTTCGAGCTGCACGGATTTTACCAGCTCCACAAATCAGTAAGTAAATATTTATATGGTTCATGATTAAAGAGAACCTTTTTTTACAGATCTTTGTCAAAACCATTGCTATAACCTGATATGTAGATTTTTCTGTTCCTTTGAACTGTCACCTTTGTAATTGCTTTCTACAAGTATTACGTTTTTCCTCCTCTGTAATCCAGTGCTTTCTCCAGTTTCATCTTCAGATTTTAGCTTTGGTGCTTTGTAGTTTAAAGGGTATCAGATATATCTGTGCTCAGAGTTCAGTCCAGACATGTTAACGTTTCTATTTGGAAATATTTATTATCGACATTTTATTGCTATAAAATAATAGTGAAGTTACTTTTTTATAGCAAGACTTTAGAGGAAAGGTAGTGTGTCTTTTTTGTTACCCATTGAGGAGCTGAAACTGAAACAATGTGAGATAATGCAAGAGGCAGTTGATCTCAGTAATATGGTTTGTACAAAGATAAATTATCCTTTTCTGATTATTTAAATACTTATAAAATATCAAGTATTTTCTAAGCTGTGAAATGATCGAAATAGTCTACTGGTTACATGTATTAGGTTTAGCAATTGCAGCTTTTAATGATGTTTTTCAAATATACTGCTTTTCCACTCCAATAAAATAATGAGAAAATGGAATTTATTTTTTGGGGTGGTACTAGCTTCTAATTTGTTCTCCTTCTGATTATTTTATGTAAACTCTATTCAAACAGTTTTGACTTTTTTAGTGTTTGAACTTTTATCATGATCCCTTGAGTACTGACAGGCACCTCCTCTCTTTTACTGCTTCAATACTGTTTTATCAAGTTCTAAGACAAGCTGCTTAGTTTGTTAAACAGGATTGTTTCGGAAATTCTGAGTTAACCCTCTGGAAGAGCTTGCTGCAAAATTTAAGCAGCTATGCATAAACAAGCAAATCCCTTTAAAAAATGGTGTTATTTAGCCTAAACACAAAACCTGATTGTAGGCTTCTTAAAGGCGTAAGATCTGTTGGTGTCCTGGCTCATTTTTGGATTCAGCAGTGTTTTGCTTTTCCTCTCTCTCTGTAACTTCAGCTGGGCAAGCTATTCTGTACAGCTGCTGAGTAGTATTTCTAGTTTAAATTGGTTACTGTCTTTCACTTTGGGGATGAAAAGAATGTACTTCTGGTATGACCGAGGTGTTTTGTGATTCTACTGGGTTACAGATTTTACTAGTCTATTATGAAGTAATTAGTGAACTCAAAAAATGTAGCCTGGAACCTAATTGTTTAAATTTTAATTGCAAAAACTGTAAAATATTATAACTTTGAATGTTTCAAAGAAAGTAAATGAAGAAAGTTAATGAAGATTTAATGGACACATTTTATATTGTTTCAGATATTTCCTGGGCAGAGGAATATAGAAAGTATATGTGAGAGTGTGTCTATGGTTCTGTAACTGTGTTGTAGGTTAAAGTAATTTAAAGCGAAATACTTCGCAAGCATTTTGAGCCCTTTATTCTGTTTATGGGAACACTGTGTAATCCCTGATGAACTGTGGTTTTTCTTACTGTTATGTGTGTCATTAATTATTGGATGTCTGTGCCCCTTCCCCTCTCAAAGGAGAAAAAAAAAGAAGTGTGAATGGAAATGAAGATGAGAATGAAGTAAATTAATTGAAGAACCTATAAGTTCTGTTTTTCTGATAGCAAAATAGGGCTCTCTGATTTTTCAATCTAGTAAGTTACACTGCTTATGAACTCCTTCCAGCGCTTACTCTCTGTCTCTAAATTGCATATATTTAGCATCTGACAATGATAGTTGTTACATTAGAAAACTATTCAAATTAGCTCATATTAAATTCAGTCAAACCTTTTAAAAACATGTTTTGGTCTCTTTTTACATGGCTTGGTTTAAATAAATCTTTGATTAAAAGTACATGAATGTATCATTGACCAGTATCTGGAATCGGATAAAAGTAAAGCTGTAATAAGAGGCCTTAGATAACTAACACATGAGCTTTAATGATTCTGAACGAAATAAGAGGAATTTGTAAGGGAGAAGGTGATTACCATCAGTAGGCTCAAACACTATTTTACTGTAAAGCTGTAAAAAGGGAATTATTGAAAATAGGACTCTCTTGGTAGATGGATTTGGCACGTTCCTATAAACAGATCTTAGTTTGTGATAAGGAGCTCATTCCCAGGTGTGAAAGGAAAGCTCATAGTTTTAACTTGGTGACTTGACAGTAGCAGAACTTAATAGTTTTGTCAACTATTTTGTTAAAGTACTACAGTCCTTTGATGTTAGATCCTCTGCTGCATCATGTGCTTCATAGCATAATAAAGCATTGTTTCAAGAGGGTTATTTCATACGGACTTGTTTCATGCAGGCTTATTGCAAGGGAGACCTCCTCAAATCTGATTTAGCAGGTTATAAGTGGTCCTAGTAGCAGGAACGTGGTGCAGTATCTGGAGCTGGCCCTGCACGCTGCCAGCTCGGATCCGGTGAGGTTTATTAGTTCAGGCTCTGTGCCATGCTGGAGCAGAGAAATGGCTCCTGGAACTGTTCTGACCTGGCAGCAACACTGCAGTGTTCATGCAGGGTTTTATCTGAGCTAACAAACCGAGCAAGACCTGCCTGACCTGGCCCAGCACTGCAGCACTCTGATGTCTCTGTGCCCGTGGCATGGTTGGTCTGCAGCTGGGATAAGATGTCCATGAAGAATTGAGTGATTTCTATAAATAACACTGAAAAATGTAGACATTTACTCTTCTCTGTGGACAGAGAATATCTACTGTTGCCTTTGATTATTTTCTACAGCTTGCAATACAAATGGCCTTTTTTGAGACTGAAGACTTACGCTGTCACCAAATTTTGGGCTTAAGAGAGGAGATAAAGTTGCATAGCTAATAGTCATTATTTAGCTATGCATAGCTAATAGAATATGAGAACATCTCTGTCTGGACGCTGGCAGTCTTAGAAATAAGAATACTAAGTCCTGGCACTTTGCGTGCCACACGCTGCATTATCTGCTGAGCCATCTGGTTGGCACGGCTTTTTAACTCGCCCAGCTCTTCACTTTCAAATCTGTTTGCTGTGATTGAGTTTAGTTCTTATTTATGTGTATGCAGGTGCCTGGTTTGCTGGGTTCTGGATTTCTCTGTCTCTTCAGATAAAACAAGCGTGCAAAGGAAAAAAAAAAAAAGATGTGTTTGAAGACAAATTTATGTGGTTTTGTGATTATTAGAAGAGAGATAAAGTGGTAGATACAAAGCAAAACTGGAACTCTGCCAGTTAAATTTAGCTGCTGTTCTCTGTGAGAAGGAAACTACAGATGGTACCATCATTGCTTTGTGCTATCCCATGTATTAAGGTACACTTGCATAGTTTAAAAATCAATCAAGAAACTAGGAATAGCTACAGGAATAGCATTGTGTGTGGTAATTCATGGTGAAAGGGTACGTGATGACAGGCTTGTGTGTTGAAGTTTAGATCAGTTATTGTCTGTAAAACCTATTTCCATATCTCAGCATTATGAAAATAAATTCCTCCAGTGAACTGAATTAATTTATAGCCATTTTCTAGATTATGCTGCTTGCAGAAAAGATGATACAGTAGTCCTGTGTCCCTCAATGGATTTGACTGCTTAGTCAAATTGACTGATAAGGGAAAAAAAGCAAATAAGAAGGGAAATAAAAGAAAGAAATCAGAGGTACTATGTTTAAAATAACTGTGAATCAAGGGAACTTTGTGGGTGAAGGGTTGAAAACTAGAATTAATGTGAAAAGCTAAAATTAGTTGGGACACAGTAACTTTGCATTTGAAAATCTAAAACTATTAAATGTAAACTTTACTGCAGATTTATCTCTCTACTGCTCGCATCTTTGATTTTGGTAAAATAAAATTTGAACCTCAAAAGCTGACTCAGCTTTATGTGCAGGTATACTTAAAAGAACTATAATATTTAGGTTGCTTTCTAAAGGAAGGCAGATGTGGGGTTTTTTTATATATTCAGCACTTGGGTGGCTTAGTGGTTTTATGTCCCTGAAGAGCAAAATAATTGCCCGGTCTGTGTAGCAGAGGAAGGAGCCGCACAAGCTGAACAAGCAGTAGCAGTTGGGAGCTGGATTTGGAGTGGTCTAAGTGGATTATGCAGGTGTACAGTGAAGTTTTGGTGTTTTGTGACTGTTCTGTGGGTTGTTATGGTATAATGGATGTTAATGTGTGTGGATTATAGAAATTACAGAACAGAAGCATAGCAAGTAAGCCTTTTATAGATATTATAGGAAAGAATTTTGGAGCACAACATTTTTAAATACTAATTTCTTTGAGGCTGTGTGGACTGACCTGTGTGCCACCATTTCAGTTCTGGCCACATCACGTCATTGCTTTAGACTTATTAGACCTTAAACTTTCACCATATTAGACTGATATGTCCTTTAGGTTTTTTGAACAAGATTGAATAAAAATAAAACATTTCTATCTGTGTTCAATGAACGTGTGACTCAAGAAACATTGGTCTCTAGCAAATGTTTCAAGGTCTTTTTTTTTTTTTTAAATATAGAAGCTACATAGTTGTTGGAGAATAAAACTGTGGTGCTCTGCAGAAGGGAAAACAACTTTTTATAAACATGCATAGCTCTGTCTCTTTGAGAGAACTGCCAAGATAACGTTCTCCAGCCACGGTTGCTTCTCACAACATTGCTGAAATGGAAAGGTGGAATGGGCCAAGGAGATTGTAGATATCGAAATCAACTGGAGTTGAAGGGGTTCTAGGGTGATAACTTTTGGGGGATGTTAGGAAACATGTATGATGATGCAGATATTGGAGGGGAGGGACTTTGAAACTTGCAATGTCTGGATGATGCTGAGAGTTAATGGAGACAGAACAATATGATGCTTATGGTCTAGAACGTTAATCCTGAAGGAGCACCTGAAGGTCTGGGATGAGGACAGCAGTCTCAGGACCATTGATCAGACACAATATTGACTAATGCCGTTAGAGCTCATCTGTGCATGAAATGGAGCATTTCTAGATGCTACCCTGAAGCTGAGGGAAGAATTCACACACTGTTTTTAGGACTGACTCGAGCCTAAACCAGACGCTTCTGTTTCAAGTAGTGCACATCCTTCTTTGCATTTGGGTTCAGTGAGAAAGCAGACACAAAATGATGGTGATTAAGAAATGTTAGGACAGATTTTTTTTTTAAATGTCTTTATTTTTTTCCCCCCTGAAAAGAAGCAGTGAAATAGGGAGTGAAAAGCACAGCAGTGAACACCAGCCACGTGGCCTCGTGCGTTGCCAGATCCTGATCGGCTACTACACTTACGTGGGCAGGACCACAAGTGCAACACGATTTTCAAGTAACAGATAGAAATAAGAGGAGTTTAGTTGCAGAGGAGAAGCCCTGCATTATTCAATGGCTGTGATGGAACTTGATGAGTGGAATTACACATCAGAAAAATATACTCCATTTTGCATATGTGCTGCTGCTAAATAGGTCAGAATGACACTTACCCAGTGCCTTTCTTCCTCAAGGGAAATCAGAGTACTTTCCATAGCTTTGAGTAGCTTTTCAGATCTTGTGAAATTCATTGGGGTTTCATTTTTATTCTTCAAAAAGTTGTGCTGCTGCTGCTGTTGTTGCTATTATTATTATTGGCATTATTGAGCGGCCTTAGTAGGCCCAAGAAATAATCTATTCACAGTTTCATCAGAAGTACAGTACATAAGCTGCTTTGAGCTTCTGTGTGGATAACCTTTTGACTCCATAGAGTTCTAAATGTTGATTTGTATGAAATTTCATTTAGCCACAGATATTTTTTTCAGTTTTAAATATACTAACTGAAACTAGATTAAAAAAAAAATAAAATCAAAAAACCCCAACATATATCATTTAGCTAAATGGAGCTGTAGATAAGGTGCTGCCTTGTTGGCAGGAAGGACAGTTTTCATTACTTTAATTGTGTGATTTGTCAGGATTTTCAGCTTTTTATAAATGCTGTAGTGTTATATGACAGAATTAAAAGGATTTAGAATAAAAGGAGTTTAAGAAAAAGACTTTGCAGCAGGATTTCAATACTTTTTGTATTTGAGGGATTTAGCTAGCTGTTTTTCATTTCAATCATCCTGCTGCATTTTGTTAAACACTGTGTGTGGAGCAGGTGTGTACAACGTCAGTGTATCGCACATGCAAATAAACACAATTTGACAAATAAAAATTAATCCACCATAACTTGGAAGATTAAATCCCACCGCAGAACTAGAAAGGGTTGCTGACTCCATTAAGCATCGCAGAGAACAACACATGTCGCTTTCTGCAATCTCATGAATGGGACTGCTATTAATCTGATTTAATGTCCTGCAGAGTCCTCCAAATAATGATCCTTTTCTACAGTATTAATATTTACATTCTGAAAGTATATATTTGAAGTAGAAAATGGGGGTTTTTAATTGAGGACCTCAGTCATTACAAACTGAAATCAGAAGTTCAAGCACCTATTGTACAAATTTTGTGAATCTCTATTGTGGGTATTAAAACCTGGTATTTTTATTAAATTAAAATAAATGAATATTTTAAAGTATTCATTTTGATTTTTGTGCAGTTGTTTCCCTGTACTCCCTACCACCTTTCTTCTCCTTGTTCCCTGTTCCTTGTCGTTAAACTTAGAACTTGACTGCAAAGAAACATATGAATTTATATAGTTAAAAACTATAGTTGAATACTTAAGGTAAAATCCTGGCTCCATTTAAATCAATGTCAGAACTCCTGGTAGTCAGCATTTTGCCCTTAATGCTGAGAGACTAGCTAAGTGAACAGAAACAAATGGAGTTCATCTGTTACTTGTATTGAAGAAAACAAATTGCTTGTCAGATTCTTAAGAAGACTATATGTTTCATTTATCAATTTACAGGTCAGTACATACAGTACAGGTATGACTCATGAAAGGCCTTGAAATAATGGGAATAAAAGGAAAATACATTTGGCTGTTTTAGGTTACTTGTAAAGCTATTGTTGATGGTGAAATTATTGATGTGACCCATTTGACTGTATAAATACCCAAATGTGTAGGAGGGACGACTTATCCTTGTGTAGATGAGAGTCCTGAACAGTTTTTGTTACAAATTAGTTGCTTGTACCCGAGTTATTAATAATTAACAGAGACTGTTATGTGAAAATGTATATTGTTAATTGTTGTGCCTTTCTGAATAATTGATTTAGTACACCAACTACACCAGTGTTTGTGAATTGAATTTTGAACAGACTGTATCACTAATATTCTTTATAGATCAAAGGGTTTGGTGTATAATGGAGGAGAAAAAAATATTTCCATTATTCACCACATACATTCGTACCTATAGATAGATAAATAATTAAAAAGGCAACAGTTGAAAGCAAATGGAGGAAATTTAGTAGTGGTGGTGGTCAATGTTCTTCACTTCTTTAAGTTGGGTAGAAACATACCCACCCTGGCATTTACATTCAGAAGTAGAAGAGAGATTTCTTTTTTTGACTCAATTTTAGTTTTATTTCTGTTTATGTAGCAATAAGACAACATTTTCCAAACTTTCAAAGTCCCATTTTTAAGAAGTGTGGTTTACTGAACAGTTGGATGGTTCTCGAGTCAAGATGTGACTGTGGATTGGGAAGACAAAAGGCTGGTTTTAATCACCCAGCTCTGGTACCAGCAGTGGTGAAACGCACGGATCCCAGGGCAGGCAGGACTCTCTGCACCTGAATTAGAGCAGAGGATGAGCCGGAGCCAAACTCTGCTGCTGGGGCTACGCTGGTGTTACTTGGTGAATCTTCAGAGTAGATTGGATATGTTGTTAGAGTCGTGTTTTCACTTTGGCATAGCCTGTGTCTCACTGCAAGGTGCTGGAGGTGGCTTTTCTTAAAGGCTTAAATCGCCAGGTGGCAGAACTTCTTGAAAACTGTTTTGAATTTAATCTTGTATTTGTTTAGGCTCAGGGCACGAGCTGGAAGTATGGTTGTGCTTTGGGCAAACACTGGCAGCCAGGCTTGTAAGTGCTAAAGAGAGTGGCTGTTCATATGGTTAACGCTCTCATACTCCACTTCTGCCTCACTGGAATAAATTGGAAACCAATGTGTGAAACCCACACAGAGTTGGTGACAGTCTGATTACCAACAACTTTTAGAAAACAATGAAAGGAAGCAAGTGTTACTTGTCACAGTTACAGAATCCTTAACCCCAGCTGAAATGAACAGAAAATAACTCCAAAATCTTGGCCAGATTTTGCTGCTTGTTTGTTATTCATTGCCATCTCTTTCAAGAACAGTTCTTCCAGTGTTCATGGTTCTGCCTGTTACTTGGATTTCTATCACTAATCTCACACAGGCTGTGGGTTTTGTATTATGTATGCAATATCTTTCCAGTATATTGGGCCCCCACAATGTGCACACCTGTACTTAGAAAGGTAACACAAACAGTACATAGTAATTTGCTTTTCTTTTTCTTTTTTTTCCCTCTTATTAGGTGCTCAGAAATGTGATAGTTTTTCTGAGAAGCGGCCTCTTCTTGGTGTGTGCAAAAGCATTGGATCATCTGGGTAAGAATACTTTCCATGAACAAAGTCTTATGTACAAATTGTAATGTCATCTAAAAAGCCCAGTAGATTACATCTCTAAAGCTCTATTCCCTTTTTGCTTTTTCAGTGTGTCAACACACATTTGCCTATGACATAAACTTTTTAAAAGGAATAAAAAATAGAGACTCTTAATATGAAACAGACAAAGAGGTATTTTAAGTTTATTTTGTTCTCGTTGCAATGACAATTTTTTGATTAGCCTTTTCTGTTGTTAATCCTGGACAGAATTATTATTGAGAAGTGTCTAAAGCAATCTTTGCGTCTTCAAAAGTAATTAAAAGATGCTTTCAAGCAGCAGTCTTATACCAATGCACCGAGCAATTTCATTGTCACAGCCACTCACTGTTTATTAGCAAAATACATGTTAAATCTACTTCTTTAAGTTGGAAAAATAAGTTAACAGTCTTGTCTTGTGCTCTGTGGACAGTATTGTATCACTCCTCTTATAAAAGGGGGCTTTTAAGATATTTTTATGTCTGTTTGATATGTTGATTCAGATGATCCAAAGGATTTATATCTATACCTACAGGAAAATACTTGCTTTTCAGGGATAATCCTCTATACAGTGACTCAAAGGCTAAAGAGTTGAAGTAAATCTTCTTACAGTAGTCAGGGTAGTTCTGTGACACACCTTTTTCAGTTAAGAATTTAATCACTCTGGGTGTGGAGGAAGACTGTCAAGTCTCTGGATGTATTATTGCTGTGTTAAACTAGAGTATTAATGTTGCCTGTCTTAAATGTTTAAAATAAAAATCATGTAGGGTAGAGGAGTGAAATGTCTTTCTATTGATGTGTTTTCAACCCAAAACTGTTTATAGTGCCTCTTCTCCTTTGTGCTGCCGTAATTGTATGTAATCTCACAAATAACTTTGTGTAAATAAGAGTGCATGTAGCTGGTGATGTGCATACTGCCCTTTTAGGAGTTTCTGTCTTAATCCAAACAGTGTATTTATATATGTAAAAGGTATGTTGAATGCAAAAAACCATTTCCTTTGTAGCTTTGCTTTAGAAGCTGAGGTATCTGCGAAATGAACAAACTAGGAGGATTGTTGTTATCATTATGTTACTGTATTCTTCAGTTGATGGGAAATACTTCAGAGATTATTGGTAGTTTCTGCTTTTCTACAAAAAAAAAGCTCATATGTTTTGAGAATAAATGGTTATGTTTGTGTTACTACTTATCAGTAGTTAAATATCTGCAAATAAAAGAATTTAAGTCAGGCTTTCCACTGTGACCAGAAGACTAGCACGAAGTTAGAGTAAGGAGACTGTGCTTACAGGCTCCTTTTTTTACCTGTTTAACAAAGAACCAGTTTGCTCATGGTGGTGAACCTTCAGCAGAAAATTCTGAAACACTTCTCTACGTTTACTGCTCATTGCAAGTTACTTTTCAGAGAGTCCTTGCAAATTACCGATTTTTGTCAATAGCTTTTGGTTTAGTTCTTTGATAGTTTGCCCTCACCTGGAGTCATGTTCCTTTTAAATTGGCTCAAGTGTCACACTTGGTTTTTCTTCTGTTACATTCATAGATCATTTGATTACATTTCTATACTGATTGTTACACATACAAAAGAATTTGTGTAGAACGTTAAAATAGCTGTGTCATGAATGGCCTCTGAACCTGAATTACAATTTTGGTTCTGCTCTTAACTTGAGGTTTTGTGCTGAACATCGTTTCCTGTATATCTCAGTGGTTGTGGACAGATAAAAAACCCCCTTGTTTAATCCATATATCTGAAGAAAATACTACATTTATTCTAGAGGATTTATTTCAAAGCACTTGATATTTTTACTACAGTCATCTCCTCACCTACTTTGGAGATTATGCTGGCTATGGCATGAAATACTGCAGCTGTCAGCTCACAACTGAAATTGTGCAGGGAATAGGGGGTCTGTTCTGTCGACTGCAATGGCAGGTGGAATAATCAGTGAAATGATGTAGCACTGACACTAAAATATTTCCCATTCGTAAACAGAATGTCTAAAAGACTGAATGATTTTCTCAAAGGCGACTAGTCCAAAGCAGATCCAGAAGTGAAATCCAAGACTTCCAACACACCATCTGTGATGCTGATACATTAAACTACATTGTCGTTCTTTAATATAAACTGAATGAGTTTGGACATGGTTATGACAATGGAGCCAATGTCCAAACCAGTTCTGCCAGCACAGCCCCCCTGCCCTTATCCACCTCTTCATTGGGACAGCAGGTTGTCACTTTTTGAAAGGGGAAACCAATCTGATAGAATATAGTTCTATCTAGATCCACTGCACTGTCGTATAATAATAGTATTTAATAGTATTTTATCTTTTAGGACTATATCAATGAGATATTGACATGTTCAAGCTAGCAGCCAGGATTTCCTGGCTCTGACCACTCGTCTGCATTAGTGGTTACCATCAGGAAATTCTCTTTTTCTTTAGCTCTAAAGTAAATACACTATAATGAAGGAAATACAATAAAAAGGTATTCTTTTAAATGTAGAACACTTGTCACTCTGGAATCCAAAGAATTGTCAAGTAGTAATGAATTAATAAGTCTCCCAAAGATTTAGCAATGAATTAACTTAGAAATCAGCTTCTGCATAACATGGCATGTGGGTTGCATCTCTTTTGTAACGTGACCTAATACAGTTGACGTTGATTTAACTGATGCTGATAAAACATATTTTCCTTTGAAAATCATTAGTGAGGTCTTAACCATCACTTTAATATTTCTTAATTTTAAATCTTAATTTCTTTGAGAGCGCCACATTTGAGAGACTGCTTTAAAAAGTAATTTTAGTGTATCTAAAATTTTACACTTTGCACTTTGAAATTAATTTTTGGCACCTGCTTAATGTAAAAGTTCTGTAGAGGGAGATTTCCTACTGATCTCAATCCTTGTATTCCCCACAGTGGGTATTTTACCAGGGAAAATGAAATTTGCATTTTCTAAAGTTTTGCCTTGTATCTGAGTTTCTGACTAGCTTTTGGTGCACACATTTTTGTGTTTGAACAGTCAAATTTTCCATCTAGTAAAGTGACTGAAATGTCTAGCATGGTTTCACTGTATAATCTTTTCAAAACAATAGTTTTCTCAGCCCCTAAAAAGGATGCAGTCTTGACACATAAATGGGAAACAGATTGTGTGTTTTGGCTGATATTACTCTGCTGGTTTAGATGTTGGTTCAGTCAACTTCAGTCTTAGATTACAAGATTTGCAAATTAAAGGAAAACCAAAAAGGAAAGAGCATCTGCATAAATTCTTGTTTTTGTGAAGCTTTGTAGAGGCATGTTTACTTTGTTCTGAGTGAGAAGATAAATTTTTATACACGCACGAAATGAATTGATAGGTTTTGGTACAGATTAATGAATTTTCTAGGTGGTGAACAGAGAATTTTATTTTTTTCCCTCTGAAACAAAGTAATAGTGATGGCCACAAAACCACGTGGCAGAACCAGTCACTGTGTGCTGTTCCCAACTACTCAGTTTAAAGATAACTAGGTAGGACCAATTATGTTAAATGGAAATATATTTCTTTTCCCCATATGGGTTGTTGAAACCATGGTTTGGAGCATAGTGGATCTGTAGAACACCTTCAAATACACCAAAGAGGTCCAAAATACAGTAGATGTACTTTTTGTTCTGCTCATACGTAAATGTACAAAAATCTTTAAGTAAATGCTTCATTTTATCTAATGGAGATATTTAAGGGGAAATTGACCAGTATAATTTTGTTTTATTTTAGATTATTAAGAAAAAAAATTATGGTTTTGAGAGTAATTGCAAATCTCCCTTTCAGTAATCATTATAGAAAGCTAACAAAACAGAAGTGATCATGCCAGGAGGTGTTTTGTTTTGTTTTGTTTTTAAAAAAAAAGGGAAAAAAGAAAAAAGAAAGAAAAAGAAAAAAAAGTGTGTGTAGGTGCAGAGGAAGGAGAAGGGGTCAGGGAAGAGAGAGATGAGTTGTTGCAGTATCTTACATATGAAACCACCTCTCCTGAGTACAGAGCACTTTAAATACTTTAAACTCTAGTATCGATCTTTCTTCAAATGCCAAGTGTTCTGATGACTCAAATGTTCACCCCGTCATGCTTAATTACGAGTTACCAAACTTTGTTTCTACTCTAAAGATTTTTTCTTTGTTTTTCTTTTTGTTGTCCTTATTAACTAGGCAGTTTATCATATGTAGACAACAAACTTCTTGTAATGAAACGTGTACCAGCCTAGCTAAAGGATTGTATCAGCTCTGGGCTTACAGCAGAGTGGGCTTTAGACTGTAGTTCTGTGATTCACTGACTAGCAGCAGCAAAGACAACTTAGAATTCCTACTCACCTCACCTGCTTGTGCTGCTGCCTCTGCGCTGCTGCTTTCTGTGTCCCTGGGCTGTGTCACTTCAGTGGGTCGTAGAATCGTACGGCAAAGGGGATGACAGAAATAATCCAAGTAGATAATAATGCTTCAATTTTATTTTTTTAATGATACAGATTATTCCAGTCATCTGCTTTATGAACAATTGCATGCAGAATTGCAAGGTGCAACTGAGAGTGGTAGGCAGTTGTAGTATGAAGGTTGGAGTGAGCGCAGAGGATGGCATTTCTCAAGTTAGCTTTGCTGCTAAGGCAGGTTAGCAATGAACTGTGGTCTCACTCGCTTGCTATAATGCTTTATTCTGTTGCCCATCCTGCTTTTAACAGAGCAAAACAAAGACAGAAATCCTAGAAATGATTTGTCCCAACAGCCACGTTTCTGGATAGCAATATTTCACCTTCTGTTAATGAACCATTCAACAGGAGATAGGGGAGGAAAAAAAATAAAAAAAGCTTGAAGATCTCCTGAAATGCAACCCAGATCTCTAAGCCATCGTTACAAAAAGTGTTTGACACTTTGGTGCATTTGTCTTTTGTCCAAATAGCCAAATACAGGTGCCAAAATCTTCTGTAGGCATGTATAGTCAGAGAGTATATGAGTATGGCTA